AAGAAAGAAAGAAAGAAAGAAAGAAAGAAAGAAAGAAAGAAAGAAAGGAAGAAAGAAGGGAAGGAAAGGAAGGAAGGAAGGAAAATAGGATGGAAGGAAGGAAGAAAGGAAGAAAAGAAGATAGGATGAAAGAAAGGAAGGAAGGAAGATAGGATGAAAGAAAGGAAGGAAAGAAGGAAGGAAAAAGAAAATTATCTCTTTGCAAATGAGCAAAGGATCTATGATTTCCTCAGCATAGCAAAGTCCCTCTATCTAAGCATGCATCCATCTACATCTTAGTAGAAAAAAGTCTTAGGAAATTCCTTGAATCTCTGAGAAGTTAAGTGACTTGTTTCAGGTCACAGAGCTAAAAAAAAAAGTAGTAGAGGTAAGATCTGGACTTAGGTCTCCCTGATTACTAGCCCACGACTTATCTGCTTCACCATGTTTGCCTATCTATCTACCTTTTCTCAGGTCCCTGAAGAGTAGGTTTAGTCTTCTAAAGTCTTCTAGCACCCCATCTGTAAGCTGAAGGCTTTGGCATAAGCTAGCAGAGCTCATCTCAAAGATCTCCAGGAAATGGTGTTAGGTTGTGACTCAGTTTCTAGACTCTGCAAAGCTCACCACTTTCTGAAATGCCCAGGTAAAAACAGACCCTTCCAAATCTTTTAAAATGGTGATCAAAATATACATGACATAGACTTTATTTAGAGAGTCTTCATCCAATAGAACTTATTTCTCAACACCAACAAGTCATTGGTTCTTTTTGCTTCTTCTCCATGTTCTTACCTGTGACTCCTATGTTCTACACATGAAGAATAACAAGTCAACAGCCTAGAATATGAAGTTCTTGCCAAGTTCAGGTGACAGCAATGGGAGATGATTTTGTTGGTTTTTTTAAAATCTTCCCATAGTATTTCTTAGCCTCAGTCAAGACGGAGTCAGGGAGTTAGCAGTTGTTCAGTTACCATAAATGATAAAATACTTTGCCCATGGCTATTCTACTGAAGTAGAAATAAAGATTCATAGAGCAAGACGTTTTGAAAGGTCACCAAGTCCAGCCCCTTGACACCCAGCAGGTATGTTTCAGAGAGGAAATAGTTGTCTATTCTTATATTCTTTAAAGATTCCTAGAGGAGGAAATTCCATAGACTCTCTTGGTAGCCAGCTTCATATTTTAATAACTCCTCTCATGGGGACTGTCTTCCTTATATCTAATCTCATCTATTTTTACTGTATGCCAAGTAGTATGGTTTGGGGGACTTGCCAATGGGTAGAGATTCTCTACTTGAAGAAAGGCTCTTATAGAGACTGAATGAACTTACATTGGCATGAGTTCCATACAGAACTGGATGAGCAAGATGAACCATAGTACCTCAGGCAAGAAAGAGGAGAGAGACCCTGGGACTTTGGGAGGCTGTTACAGTGGAGGAGAAAAAGGAGGAAGCATGATCTATTTTTAACAAAGTCTTCTAAGTTTGATTCATGCCATTTGTATTTAAACCACAGCACTTTCTGGATTTACCCCCTCCCCACAGACATATTCTTGCTTACTAGAAATGCCTAGTTATTGCTATTTGCTAAAGGAATACAAATACTGTCAGTGCCTCTGAATTCTGGTACCCTAGCACAAAGTCCCAGTTGCACCAACCTAATTGCAATTCTTTCTTTCTTTTTTTTTGGTGAGGCAATCGGGGTTAAGCGACTTGCCCAGGGTCACACAGCTAGTAAGTGTCAAGTGTCTGAGGTCAGATTTGAACTCAGGTCCTCCTGACTCCAAGGCTGGAGCTCTATCCACTGTGCCACCTAGCTGCCCCTTTCTAATTGCAATTCTGATGGCACATTACCGAGTCCATGATTCACGTAATAATTTGGTGGTTGAAAAGTACCCTCTGTATCTTGTTACATAGGAATTTTTAAAATGCTGCAGGTACTACTGTACATAATTTGTCAATAAATTTGGAAGAAGTTTTATTTAGAAAGTGCATCCTTTTGTGCTTCAAAAGCTAAAAAACAATGGAATTGAGAATGCACACACAAACATATCCTTTAGCTATTTTTATAATTCAAGGGGGACCATTTCTTTTTATATTTATAAAAGAAAGGCTGAAAGCTTGAAATACATCAAAGAAAACACCCAAAGTTAGAGTAATTAAAGTTAAAACTCAAGGATTGAAAACATAATTTGTTAAAAGGGAAAGATTTCAATTCTTGAGTCTGAAAACCTGGGTTCAAATGCTGGCTCTGTCCCTTACTAGCTAAGTGACCCTGGGCAATCCATTTAGCTTCCCTAGACTTTAGTCTGCTCAAATATAAAATGAAAGAGATAGCTTGAAGAATACCCTCAGTCCCTACCAGCTCTATAATTTTACAGCAACAATTAATGGTATTAATCATAAACATTTTACATGAATCCAATATATGAGTACACAAGTATCTGTGGGGGTAGGTAGGCTGGGAAAGCAGTCAGTTGATGTTAGCTTTCAATGCCATGGCACCAGCAGTGATGGCAGTAGCACGTGACCATGTTAGCTTCTCTATCAAAATCTGACACTACCAAACCATGCTCCTCCTCTAATCTATATCTATAATTTGGGGAATATAGTCCCAGGTAAATAAGTCAAATACCTGGGGCATAGACCAGTGCATTAAAGATTCGAAACATTTCAATCTTCAACTTTTTTCAAATAGAAAAGCCTATGTGTCTTCTTCACCTATGCTAAACTGAGGTCTGGAAGGCTCAAAGCTTAGCTTTTAAGATACATTATAACTAATCCCCTAGATTACTCAAACTTTTATTATTTTATACACTTTAAACTTAAATTCATATCTATGATGCTACCAAACTTCAGAAACAAATAAACACTTAATTCAAGTTGAAAACTATCTACTTAGAAAGATCAACTAGTTTTGAAGAAAACTATTTAAAAAGATGGATATTCTTTGGACAGATTATCAAAGTACAAATCAGAAAATGAGATTTTGAGTTCTAATAAACTTTATAAGTAATCTCCACCGAGCTCGAATATTTTATTGTTGCTTTTTCCACGGGCATACCTCATGTTAGGAATAGGTTCATATCTACACACACACAGACACAGACACACAGACACAAACATACACATAAACACACACACACACGTGTGTATATACATACACACATACACAATATTTTAGGGTTTCTGGTGTTGCTTTATTAATTAGGAGGGTAGCATCCTAGATCTGGAACTAGAATTAACTTTTCTCATTCTAAATGGACCCAACTATAAAACAAAGCAGACATCTTACTTGAAGAAAGCATATTGTGGGGAATGTACTACTGTGTAACATAACAGAAAGCTTAAAATGTTTAGAGTGGTGGAAATTAAGAGCCTAAAAATGGTCCAGATTAGGCGACGCTCTTGGTTTGCTTAGCTCGGGGTAAAGAAGTCTACGTGTTCCTTACCTATGACAGCATGATGAGAGGACATACTCATGAAGTGGTTCTGATCACTTCATCTCAAAATGGAGAACTTGAAGAATGCTACACCATTGCTTAAATAGCCAGAAGTACTTACTCATTTGCTGAGAAATACAGATGTAAATGTCTCACATTTCATCATGTACAAATCTCCTTTGCATTTGAAATCATCAGTTCAGATACTAAGGGTTTTAATAGTCATGGTGCACTGTGGTTGGTATTGACAGCACCAACTGTGAATGACTCTGAGGGACAGCTAGTTAGTTATACAGCCTGCTATGCAGCATTTATTACAAGCAATAGGAAACTCGTGTAAAAAGTATATCCACTATGGGAATAGAAAAACAGCAAAACTATCTGCCCAGGGATTTTCCTACTAACCACCAAACAACCCAGACAACTCAGCCATCTCCTCTCATATCAGTTACATGACTTGGTTTCTCTTCCCTTTTCACCTTTGCTATTTTCTCCTAAAATAGCCACAATTCTCCTTCTTCTCTTTCTCTCTTTTTTCCCTTAGGAAACAGTGCTAGTTGAGAAGATAAATCTTAACAAAGAAAAGAAACTAGCAAGAGGTGCCACAAAATATAAAGAAAATGGAGAGAATACCAACCTTTATTCCACTCTGAACAAGTTTGTGTATGTCCAAAAAAGGCTCCTTGAGAATTTCTCCTTCTGGGGTGAATATCTTCACGTAGCCTTCCTTTTCAAGGATGAAGAGACGATGGGACCCATCCCCACAGTGGAGGGCTCCAACAGGCTGCCTCAACCCGCTCACAATTTCCTGGGCACAGAAGCAGCTGTGTTTGTGCTTTCTAGACAAATTAAAGAAAACCAGTCAGTTTTTTTTGAGGGGGATGGAGGGAGCTGAGATGTAACACCTCACACCTTTTTCAAGACATAGTTCTCTTGGAACCAGTGTTTGGAGGGTGGTAAAAGGCTATTGTACAGAGTCACAATATGGCAGGTAAACCAATTTTTTAAAAAGCAAAGGAGTTTTATATCAGAGAGCAGAATAAGGGGAACGTCGGCAAAGGTAGCCCAAATATATTTTAAAGTTTCTCCAAGTTACCAGTTTAATTTTTAGCAAGCTTTACTAAAGCTAGTTCAATTCATAATAATCACAACTTAATTAAAAAAGTATCAGAGAAGACTATCTTCACAAAGAAATGATTTGTTAATTCTAAATAAATTATACTGAATAGTTCAACAATGAAATACAAGTATAAAACTATACCCATGAAATATATATATATGTATATGTTTACACATATATATATATGAATCAGAGAGAAGCCAAGCTTAGAACATATGATTAGTAACCTAAATATTAAAAAGGCATTTACGCTAATGTGATTTTTAAGAAAGCAAACTAGCAGAAGAAGAAAACATCTGGAGGACACAGCTGTGGAGCATAAGCACAGACTGAGTTGATTCACTGTCAAAACCACAAAGATTTGTCAGTTTTTTTAAAGATTAAACAGCATTTATCTTTATGAACCTGCTGATCTCGTCCACTTTGTCATATTCTTCCATCTGGTCCAAATAGTTAGATGTTGGGCCTCTCACTTGTTTTCTTGGAAAATCTGGAAAGCACAACCCACCATCTTTTCTTGCGTGGTAAAAGCAAAACTCATCAGCTGTAGTTTGAAGGAAACCTTTGAAGTAAATGTAAAAAGAGATCATGAGAAATATTTAGCATCTGAAAGCATCTGAATTTTTACATGTATTCTGAGTAGAAAATAAAATTCCACTTAAATAAAGCTTACACAAATTTTGGATGATAGAGAATGCACTGAGGAAAAAACCTCACCACCTAGCAAAAGTGTCTTTTATGACTTAAAATTGATTGTCCCGTCAGAAATCATAACTGTTCAAGTACTGCAGATACAATGAGAAACTCCTGTGTGGGAAGTCCCCACCCACCCACCCCCACCAACTTAGTGCAAGTTGCCATTGCAACTCTACAATAAGATGAGGATTTTCCCAAAGCTGGGAGACGTGAGATGGCTTGCCCTGAGTTAGTCAAACAGAGAAAGTAAGTGTCAGAGGTGGGATGTGAACCACATTGTGAACCATCATTAAGAATGACAGTAAAATGGGGCAGCTAGATGGCACAGTGGATAGAGCACTGACCCTGGATTCAGGAAGACCTGAGTTCAAATCTGGCCTCAAACACTTGACACTTACTAGCAGTTTGACCCTGGGCAAGTCATTTCACCCCATTGCCTTGCCAAAAAAAAAGACAGTAAAATTGAAATAATAATACTGGAGATAATGGAAAAAAATCTTACAACCAAGAACTTAATAGGAATCTTGCCAAAGGGCTAGAGTTTCTTTCTGATCCCTTCCAAGGGGAAGTATGAGCTTTGCCAACACGAATTCGCCTTTTTAAGTTGTACCATATATCCTATTACTCCATATTTTCTAAAGAGGAAATACAAATTCAAAATCAAGATTCTGGGATATAAAATCTCTCAAATTTTAATGATTAGGATGTATTCTGATCTGTTCAATGATAGGCACTTGCTATAGTTGTAACTATTTATGATTAAATGGTGAAAAAAAAAACCAGGTCATTATCAGGAATGGCTTTGAGTCCCCTTGCAATGAACGAAGATTGAACAGGCAGGGGCAGCATGGCGTGATGAAGGGGGCCCTGCCCTTGGAGTCAAGAAGACCAGGGTTCAAATCTCACCTCAGCCACTTCCTGGCTGTTCCACTTGGCGGGTCACTCACCCTCACTGTGGGTCCACTTCATCACCAGCCAAATAAAGAAGCTGGACTGACTGGCCTCTAACGTACCTTCCAGTTCTAAAGTGATGGTCAATGATGAGTTGGAGAGTTACCATTTTCAAGCATGCAAAGGCCCAGTTTCTATTCTAGTGCTTTCTACACAGCAGATGCCTAATTGGATGGATTTTTAATTGAATTTTTCCTCAATTTCAACTAGTATTCATTCTGTTGCTAGTTGCATAATCATTATTGTTTTACATAGAAGAAAATTCTAATGATCATCTCAAGGTAAGTTATTCCCTAAAACAATCCTATAGCCTAAGTCAGCCTTACTGTTATTTTGTGATTGAGTCAAAGGCAAGAAAAGTCAAACACAACATGGCTTAGTAACTGCTGAAATCATTAGGTAGCACAGCTAAACTCAATGTCACTTCCAGCTCTACGAACAAAAACGCCAGGATGAAACAGCTGCCTCCTCCGCTTGGCATGTAAGGCACTTTATAACCTGGCCCCTTCCTACCTTGCCAGTCTTGTTACAATGACCCTTCACCCACTGCTTCCCCCTACCCCCTTCACGTACTCTCCTGCTCAGTTACGTTGGCTGGCTTGCAGTTCCCCCAACACAACATTCTATCTCCTTGACTCCACGTTGGCTAGCCCCCATACCTTTGGAAGCTCTGCTCCCTCACTGCCACCTCCTGGTTGTCCTGACTTTTCATAAAGATTCTAGTCCCACCTTCTTTAGGAGGCTTCTCCCAGTCTTCTCAGTTGCTAATGCCTTCCCCTCTGAGATGATCTTTCAGCCATCCCATATATTTCAGATGTACTGAGTTACTTATATGTTATCTTCTCCAGTGGAGTTTTAGCATCTTGGGTCAAGAGCTGTTTTGCCTTTCTTTGTAATCTCAGTGCTCAGTAATTGCTTCTTGATTGACTGACTGACTGATTGGTTAAGACAGTCATGATATCCCAGCTTTTTACCTAGCTTTTCATGATCATCTAATGCACTACATTTGTTAGTTAGTTAGAAAACTAACTCTTACTGAGAATTGGGGAAAGACAGGTTTTCATTTTAACCTGTCGTATACTGATCTGTTATAAAGAAATATATTTGACCATAAAAAAAGGTCATTATACTTTATAGTATGAGAGAGAGGTTTTGACAAAACTTTCTCTAATTCAGTGAGTAAGGTTTTATTTTTGGTTTTGAGTGAAACGTTCTATTATTCCACAATGAGGAAGGCCAAGAAGCAGAGGAAAATGTTGTTTTAAAATATGTTAGTTATAAAAACAAAACAAAATTAGACATACCAACTTTGCATGTCTGGCATCTAATTTCAGATTTTGTTTGTGACTTTGTAAAATGGCTTGCCAATGTTATTCTAGACACTTGCCAGTTCTAGGTGAAAGACTCCTACTAACTGGGCTGAAGTGAAGATATGCCCTCATGTGAGCAGTTTTTAGGAATGCTTTTAGAATGAAGAAACTGAGCTCAGTCAAGTTGGGCTTACCAACGGAACAAGCATTTTCTTCCCCCAAATGGATATGAGCCTAAGAAGTAACTGGGCTTGATTCTTTTGTGACATCAGTCCCCTGAAATCTTAAGTTGTTCTTGGAATTTGAAAAAAAAATCTTGCCCTGGGCTGTCTCAGTTAGGGGATATGATAGATGGATCCTCCCCAGTCTCTGAAATGTGCACTTAACTGGTGATTTCCAACTGGATGACTGACTTGGAACTGGCATTTGGGAAAAAGGCAAGTGAGAGCAGATGTCTGGGTGGGGGAAGGGGAAAAGTAGGAGTGACAGCTGGGGAGGGGTAAAGCAGCTGAGAGGAGGTTGGTTCTTTTGTGAAGGAAGAGAGGGATTAGTAAGTGGGAAGATGACCAAGGGATGAGACAGATACTCAGGTTGATAGAATCAGAGAGTTTCAAAGCTAGAAGGGACCTTAGTCCATCAAGATTGTTTAACAAAGGCTATTCTACTTCTCTATGCTTTAAGGGTTAAATATATAAATCAAAAAATACCTAAGAGAATTTAAATAATTCTCTTCCAAGAAAAAAGGGGAAGAACTTGAGTTGATAGGTCACATGCAGACTTTCAGCTCTGTGGTGGGGCTAGGTTTAACATTTGGATGCCCATGCCTGGTTCCTATCATCTTTGAAGTAAATAACTCCAGGTAGAGATATTTTTGTATAAATGTCAAGAATCTTGGACCACTTGCATAGTATGAATACATTTAAGATTGAGTATGTAAGGTAGCACGACTCTCCATAATAGGCCAATGAGAATTTTTGCTTTAAGTTGATGTAGGCTTACAGAGTGATTCAAAGTGTGATTCATGAGAAAGCTTGGATTTGCTTTTATAAAAATAATCTTGTTTTATAGCATTACATTACAGCATTACAGTCTGCAAACAGAGACCATTTAAAGGGGAAAATTCATGAACAAGGCTGGTGGCTGGTTCCAATTTATATGGAACTAGCAAGGGACAATCATGAGGAAATGAGAAATAATTGTTAAATGGAAGATCTGAAGATTAATGAGTCTAAATTCACAAAACTTCTTTCCAAGGCTGTGGAGGTACTACGCCTCTTAGACAAATTAAAAAAAAAAAGTCAAATTCTAATACTGAATTACTTCTGGAGATTTTATGAACTCTATAGAAGTTGATAATAGAAATATCATGATGTCTGAAAGAAAGGGCATTTTCATAATAGAGGGAAATTTTTGATTTAATTCTCTTCTAATAACTGGATTAATTGTGACTTTTAAAGGACTTGACTTCGCGGTGGGTAGGGGTGAATTAAACCTCTTTGGTTGGAAGATCACCCACAGAGGGAACAGGAATTCTTCCAGGGCATCATGCTCTCATTTATGGATGGGGAAGAAATAATTTACCAAATGGTACCCTTATGCTTAAAGGAGTAAACTGCCTAGTATTTTTACTGCCAAAGAGTGTTTTGCTCACCCTGGATCAGCATAATAAGATCAGGTCTGCTAATGATGACCATATGCTGATTACTCTTCCAGCTGCATATTTTTAGCCCAGATGTCTTATCAAATGTCCTTGACCTATAACTAATAATACTCCCGAATCATGAACATAGTCCTACTGTATCACAAGGCACTCCGTAAAACTCTGACCCATAAAATAAATACCAATGCTGGAATCTTGAACTCTAGCCTTTCAACATGGATTCTAGAGAAAACTTGCTTTCCTCGTTGCATAAGCTGCACTACACACACGAGGAAGAAGCAATATAACCACTAAGTTGCTTTTCTAGTAGGATTATAGGGACCTCTTCACACTGTCATCTGGTCACCTTTGGACTACCCAGATACATTTGGCAGATAACTGGAGGAGATCAGTGGCTAATGATTGCCAGAGGGGAAGCTAACTGCTATCAGACAGACCCATGAGCTTGACCTTGCTTAGCACCAGGCTTCAACCAATTGTGCTAGCTAACCCTGGTCGTATGATAATACAATGGCTTATAGTGAAAAGACAACAGGTTAAGTACTTAAAAATATAATGAAAACAGATAAAGAAAACGCAACCACTCTGACGGACTATTTCTTATGAACATCCCACTATTTGAAAGGATTTATTCCAGCATTTAATGAAAAATAAGGTTTGGATCAGGAGCCTACTTGTGCTCATTCAAGTAAAAGAATGAATAGGTATCATAGTATAGAGGAAAGGGGAAAAATATTTTTAATGAAAGGCTATATGGTATAATGGAGAAGCAAGATGTCATAGTAGATAGAGCACTTGGTCTGGAGTCAGGAAGACTTATCTTCCTAAGTTCAAATCTGGCTGAGCCCAGTTTATAAATATGTGACTCTGGGCAGATCATTTAACCCTGCTTGCCTCAGTTCCTCACCTGTAAAAATGAGCTGGAAAAGGAAATGGCAAACCATTCCAGTATCTTTGCCAAGATCATGAAGAGTCAGACACAAGTGAAAAATGACTGAACGACAACAACAACAACAACAACAACAAACATGTGGTATATATTAGAAATTGAACTGGGATTGGAGTTAGAGGACTTACGCCATATAACTTACTCTTTATATGGCCCTAAACAAGTCCCTAATCTCCCTGAGCCTCACTTTCCTCATCATGAAAATGAAGAGGTTGGACCATATAACCTATGATGTTCCATCTATCTCTAGTGGTCTGAGCCCATGATGTAACTTTGAATATTGGCTCTACAACTTGTAAATCACAGGACCTGGCATAAGTCACAACCCCTCTGGGCCTCAGCTTCCTTATCTAAGAAATGAAGAGTTGTACTAGATGACTCCTAAGTTTCCTTGCAGCTGAAAGTCCTATGACCTACTTGTTCTTACATTTGGCTAGATATTTTTTTCTAATGTTTAAAACTATTCTCTGGGTGTAAATAAGGTACTTACTTACTAGCTGCGTGTTCTTGGGTTCATTTCAGTTCTTTGGTCCTCAATCTCCTCATTTGTTAGATAAGGGTTTTGGTGTCAATGACCTATAAGGTCTCTTCTAGCCAATTTACTACCAGGAATAATTTGGAAAGTGATGGTCTTTCATGCATCTTTACCCACTGTTGCTTTCCTGTTTGTTTTCTTTCTCTCAGAAGTGAGAATAGTCCTTCAGTCTTTCTGCATTATAATTGTCCAAAAAACTCTCTGCCTTTGAGATATGTGCTTGCTAACATGAAGCTCCTTCTACATGAAGCTCTGAAATGGCAGCTATGGCTATATGTCCTCATCTTCTCCTTTTTCTATGATAAATTCTATTACATTTAAAGAAGGGAAAAGATGGTTCTTGAGAAGAGCCAAGCAAATTCCAACTGCTACAATGAAACTGGTTATCCCACGAATAAAATGGAAAATCCTGTGCACTAGATTTACCATAAACAACCCCAGTTATGTGATTTATAATTTTTTTGATATTTCATTGTATTTTTTTCTTTTAAAAAGCTATCTTCTGAATGTCATTCCTTTCTTTGGCAATTATAGGTAGTATGGAGTAGCTGACATAGAGGTAACTTTGGAAATGGAAGACATGAGCTCAAGTCCTATCCTTAACACCTAGAGGCTGTGTGAACCTGGCTGGGCAAGTCACTTAACCCCTCAAGTGTCTAACACAGCCCTCTTAGACAGAGCAGTTGCTGATCTGTATTAGTGAATAGAGTTTCCTCATTGGGAGTTCTTGCTACCAATGCAATAACAGATCCAGACTTGTACTACCATCATTCTCTCCCCTTAAAAATCCAGCAATTTCCCTCTCAAATAGATCCTTTGGCTTAATTTCCTCTTAACTTTATTGATTTATAGAGTATTAAGCTTTTAATGCTTCTTAATGGTGTATTGTGACTTTTTTGTCATCCAAATGATGAATTGGCTTTACTAAAAGATATAAACAGAAAATGGTGCTGGTCTAATTTCCTAGTAAATAATGAAAAAAAACACACTTATTTCCTTGCAATTACAATCTGTGTGACCCTGGGCAAGTTAGTCTACCTTTCTGAGACTCAATTTCTTTATCTGTAAGACAAGAGGGTTAGAGTTAGTAGTCTCTAATAGTAGCCCTTTCAAACTTTAAACCTATTATTCTATGAATTTAGAGTGGTAAATGTTTTCTTCTTTCCTTTAGAGGAGGAAAAGTTGATCATGAAATGGACTTGTGGGGGGAAAACCCAAAAGGACATTATATGCTTCCTTTCAGTATTTCTTTTTTTTTTTTTTAAAAGAAGTTTATGAATACATTTTTGGACATGACCAGTGTGGGAATTTGTTTTGCTTGACTATGAATATTTATTGGAAAGATTTTTTCTTCATTTTTACAGTGGGGAAGGGGAGGTGACAGGGAGAGAAAATAAATGATTGTTAATTTAAATTTAAAAGTTAAAAAAAAACACTAGGCAGTCTATGATTCCAATAATCTCTGTTATCCACGGAACAAGGATTGGGGCAGGGGATGGAGCACTTTATACTTAGAGGAAATCTTAATCTGTGTGCCAATGCTCATGCTGTCCAACAAATCAATTAACCATGTTGGGGATAATTAATGCAACATCTTTTTGTTATTATAGTCCACTTTCAGAACATGTATTTAGAATGATTATTAGCATCTGATTGATGTAGGAAAGGCGCCTATTGGAGCTGGTGCTAAAGCATGCAGGCTGCTCTGTCCAGCACTAAAGTTATGCTTTCATCTGGTTATCTTTCAAGGCAACCTGGGTGGTCACAAAAAGCACTTGACATCTTGATGCACTTCAGCGGTTTTACATATACACAAACTTTGTAGAAAAATAAATTTGTCATTCGTCACCACATATGTTGATCTAGGGAGTGAGGGTCCTGCAGCTTGGGCTCCTGTGCCGTATTGCTTCCTTTGGGAAGTTAAAATCACTCCCAACATACAACAGAAAGAAACCTCCTCTTCTCTCCAAAGGCATCACTGCTCTACTTTTCCATCTCACTTTCGGATTCAAAGATAGAAATGTTAAGTGGGATCCTGAGTTTATATACTACTTTTAACCTATACTAGAGAAGGCAAACCTCCATTGCTTCCAGCTTGGACCAAGCATTTCTGATATCTAATCTGTTACTTCTTCTCAGCAGGCAGTCTTGGCAGCTATGACCTAGTCTGCTATGCTTTGGGGAATGTGATAAGGAGCAAGAAACAGCTGGCTTAAGAGAGCCTTACAAACATCTCTGCAGTTTATAAAGACAATAATAATATTTTCATATTTGAATGAGTTTAGAGACATGTTAAACCACACCAAAGGGAACAAGCAACTCTATTCAAAATGTTTTCTCAAGTCAGTAAGAGAGCTTTACAACCCTACCCTCCTCATCCCCTACCCCACCCCCATAACAAAAGCACCCAAAACCCATGTATCTGAAAGCCTTTTTTTTTTTAAGGAACAGTGTACCCTAATTACTTAAAAGTCCTCCTCTAATCTCTCTCACACAATTCTGGAGTTTTAAAAAATAATGCTTTTAATCTTACAACTAGTGATTTGTTTTCGGTGATTTTAGCTAACTTGTCAAAATGTCCCCCGGTAGATGTTACTCCATCTTTAGATATGATGTCTATTCCATCACCTCCAGTAAAATGAAATGTTGACATTTTGAATGGAGGACTTCATCAATGTTCCACAAGTCAGGCTGTGTACAGAAAGGGCCTCATGCTTAATGAGATCATAGGATCACGGATTTGGAGCTGAAAAAGGATCTTAGCAGTCATGTAGCCCAATCCCCTCATTCTGCAGATGAGGAAACTGAGGCTCAGAGAAATAAAGTCATAGGAGTAGCAAGGTCCAAGGTCATAGGTGTATTAAGACAAATGAAATCCAGGGATTAGAAATACCTAATGATCCAGCAGAAAGGTTACTACTTTTTTTTTTCCTTAGTGTTCATTATCAAGAACACCCAAATTTCCATCCTTCCCTTCTTCACTAAAAATTGATTCTGAACATAATTTATTGAGGTGTACATAGTCTTGTTCAAAAATAAGATTTGTTTTTTGACCACTTTCAATTGGTTATTGGTGTAAATGTCTTGTTTTGCCTTGCAAAGAAAGGACAGGAGATAGCTACTTTTTCTTTGGCTTACGAAATCTTTTTAATGGCAGCTTTAGTTTCCTGTTTTATCTGTTATACTAAAATTGGTGGACAATCCTTCAGCTTGGCAAAGGGGGAAAGTGTTTTGGGAGCAGATTATGAAGAAGACGGTCTGTGTGGCATTAAAAATTTGCCATGCATAATCCAAAGTAACTAACAAGTTGACCCTCTGAACAGCGTGACAGAAAATACTCTAAAGTTTAAATAAGGTCAATTCATTATCTGGATGGCTAAAAAACACAATCATAATACATCATTAAAATCTAGATGCCCTAAAATAAATATATTAAGGAGAAAACACATCTTTTGAAAGGTGAAAGAAATCTTATGCAAGCAAAAGCACGCACTGCAATGCATACATCTGATTTCAATATTCTGCAGTTGCTTTTACCTGGAATGTGGCCTCTACACGTGTAATAGAATTCTTTGCAATAGTCTTCGCACAGCAAGGGCAAGGCTAGGTCTCTTTCAGAGGCATCCCCTCTTTCAGATGAATGGAATAGATTCTGAGAATGTGGTGAGCAGTGGGCACATCTGATCTCCTCCACAAGTTTCACACACTCTGTGTTGTTGGTAACAGAAAATATCTGCAAGCCAGAAACCAGAAACAAATACGTGATCTCTTTCTCATTCTCCAGGAAAAAGCCGCTTTTAATAACAAAAGAAGAAAAGCATTCTCAGTCAGGTAGCAAAGTTATTTATCGGGACCAAGGTTATCACAAGAGGTAACAGTGGAGAGAATAGAGAGCTCAACTGGGAGTCTGGAAGACCTGAGTTCAAATCTTGCCTAGAAGTGCACACTGTCTGACCAGAAGCAAGTCACTCAAGTTCCCTGTGACTCAGTTCCTTCATTTGTAAAAAGGGGATAATAATACCCATAGAACCTACCTCCCAGGGTGGTTGCTGAGGCTCCAATGACATGATGTATGTTATATGCTTTGAAATCTTTCAGCCCTATATAAATGCCAATTATTATCCCAACATAGAAAACCTGACTATCTAGTTTGTTTGAAGAGATAGGAGATGGCCTAAAATGGTCACCTATAACCAATAAAAATAGTGCATTTGCCTATGGCTGGTTCCTTTGCTCGTGAAACATTAGGGACTAATGTGAGTGTTTTAATACCCTAGGACAACCACTTACTCAAAACAACACATTGAGTGCAAATGTAACTAGCAAAAAAAAAAAAAGAATATCCAGCCCTATTCCTGCATACATTTTAAGTTCTATAGTGATTTTTCTCCTGAAATTCCTGGTATAAATGAATAATTGTGGATCTTTTGGGTGCCCAATTGATTTTTTCTTCTAAGGACATTTATACATCCTATGGCAATTAACATTTAGCTATTCCTATTAGAGAGTACTTCATAGTTGATTAAATTCTTCTACATATATTATTTCACTTGATTCATATGTTATAAAGGTTTTTAGAGAGGAAAAAAGCTTACCAACAAAAGATAAGGTAACAACAGCCCCTCTCCTTCCCATGGGAATAATATCTTAAGCTGTTAGGTACATTTTTTATTGAGCACTGTATCTTAACTTGGAAAAAAACTTCATAGTTTCATCAGGACTATGATACACATAAGAAAATAAACATATGAATGGATTATAAAATTATAGATTATAGCATATAATGAATTTCACTGGAAAATGGTACATTTTTTGTGCAATATTTTGTTCTTTATGTCCACTGAGAAATATTTTTTAATTTTTTTTAACCATTGAGGAAGCACCTAATGAACAAAGTAGGAAGTCCATAACCAATATTAACTTTTCTTTTTAATTGATATTTCATGCTTTTCACAAATCCAAAGAGTGATATAGCCACAATGGAAATATGTGAAATGTCGAGGAGTACAGCACTATCCAAACTCCAGCATCAATATCACTATTAAAAAAGTTCCTTCTGTGTACTGGAGAATCTAGACATATTTCTTTGACTTGTTTATAGAAGAAAATTTAAAGACTGTTTTTGTTCTTAACTTAGGTCCCTATTTCTATATAAATATAAATACTTTTAATTATATGTTGTTTTTCAAAATCAATTTTTAAAAGATTTTTTGAGAGGAAAAATCAATAAGCAGTTACCAACTTATTCTATTCTTTATAAGTAGATATTCTAATTTGAATAAATCATGATGCTCCTTTAAAAAACCCCAATGTCCTAGTTTATCTGAGAATTTGCATTTAAAAGAGCAAAGAATATTAATTGTTTTAGATAGCTGAATATATCTATATGCTAAAACATTAGTAAAAAGAATAACATCCCCCCAAATCCAAAAGAAATGATCCCATTTGGGGGAAAATGAAATAAAATTAATAATTTATTGTAAATTTTTGATTGAGATTAAATGTATAAACAATGGTGATATTTGAAATACAAAATTCCAATGGAAAAATCACATTGGAGGGAAAAAGAAATAAGCTTTATGATTTATTATAAATCTCTACTTATATACTTGATTAACCCAAATCATTTTAGATTTTTTGCTCACTTTACTTACATGACAAGTGGTTAAGTGGTTAAGATTTTCAAAAAAGAAACATATACAAGACACTTAGAATTTGCATTCCAAGAATTTTTAGAATGTCTTCAATTGTGCATACTTTGCCAGACACCACCAGATCTATGCAATATTCTATTTTTCTGTCTCTATAGCCTATACAGTGTTGATTAGTGTAGCAAAGCATCAAGAGAAAGAGCATTAAAAGAAACTAAAGCCACCTCTTTGGCTTTGTGGAAAATGGGTGTTTAATTACATCTGATTTCATGTAGTCTATGCATACTTCCATTTTTAATAACTGAAATAAAACCCTGCCAGCTGCCATCCAGGGGGAACTTGAATTTAGTGCCTGAAGAATTTGGTCCTTTACAATTTTTGGAATGTGCCTTGGCCACAAAATAACCCATCAAAAGATTAAGGAACAGGATTCAATAAATTATCTGAAATAAAGTACAATATTATTCTTTTTTAAGTTTCATGCTGTTCCAACACAGCAAGACGCTAACATTTTGCTCTGTGTGAGGTCCGCAGTGTAAATACCTATCTGAAGATAGATAGAGTCATCATTCTAGCTTAAGTTTCGATGAACCAGTGGTCTTACTGAAGTCAATTAAACTGACTTAGCCCAAAGCTGAAACGCTGTTTTGGACAGATCAGTATGAGTGTGAGCAGGGTATTCTGTCTTCTTTAATAGCATAGACACAAATACAGATACATGCACACATCTTTCTCTGAGCTTGACAATGCCATTGAGCTTAACAAGAAATGGTAACTAATTTTCTTTCCTGATTTAAAAAAGAAGTCATATCCAAAGTCATCGTGTGACAGTGGCCTAAACTGGACTTTGGAAAACATGTAAAACTTGGAAATGTTATTATAGCATGCCTAGTAATGATTATGCTTGCTGCTGACTAATTTATAACATCTGTAAGGTCATCCTTTAATCTCCAGCCACATGAAAGTAAAACTCATTGAAGAAAAGGTAAGCAAAATACTGAAATCCACACAGAAAAGTGTGGCCTACCACGAAAGCTTATCAACAAACAGTAAAAAATCAGTGACAGGGACCTTCTGTATTTCTTTCTTTAGCAAGCAGCAAAGCAAAGAAAGTAAAGCAGCACCCACATGGGCCTGATAAGTTGACAAAAGCGGGGATAAAGCATGACAGTACATTAAGATGTTGCCTTAAAAATCCCTGGGTGTACCCGAATTTATTTCTCAAAATCCCATATCCGCAAGGTTGCTCAGCTGTTGGGTAAGACACATGTTTCTTCTGGACCCTAGTGCTGGATTATGTCATTAGAGAGTTCAGTTTCAATTTTAGGCTAATATGTAAATAGATCATTGTATTAAGGCAGCTGTTAAAGGGAGCCCAGGATGAGTTATTTGTTTAGTTAGATGTGTCCAACAATAGCCTTTGTTCCTGAAAGAGCCAGAGCAAACACATGATTATAAAAGGGCACACTTGAAAACAATTACTTTTCACCCATTCCTTGACAGCCTTGGCTGTGAAGCCACCCAAGGTAGCTGACACACACACACACAGACACAGACACAGACACACACACACACACACACACACACACACACACACACACACACACTGAAAAGGGGAGCTCCTATGTCAATCTAACCCCAAGTTAAGTTTTAGAGATGCTGCCATTTGAAGGTTGGAGTTGCTGATGCTTTGGGATGATGGTAAATGGAATATGCTAGCGCTTGTAATGAAGTTAAAGAGCTTTGTTAAAAATAAAGTTACAACAATATAACTTCACCGATTGTGGAGACGCTTACTGTTGAGGTTTTGAAAAAAAGCATACAATGTTATCAGAGTTGCCTTGATATATTGACATTAATATAAAACACTTTAGTTTAAAAATGACACTCACGAGCATCAACTGAACATGCTACTATGACTGCTACTGTCATGACAGAACAGGAGAATTTTGAAAAGTGTTTTTTCTTTCTTTCTGTTTTTGCAAAGATCTCCAGGCACCTCCAAGCTGAACTTTAAAGGCATCTTTCTAATGGCTATCAGCTACCCTGAATGTGCGTTATTAAAAATGACCTAGCCATATTTATGATATGCTAATAAGCCTTAGAATAAACATAAAGGTTTAATGGACAGATAACATGGTTTTAAAATATCATTAAAACCTTAGGACAAATATGTCTTAAAATGTATATAAGAACATCTCTACAGAGTAGATAACCCTTATTCTTTATTTTGAAAGTGATTTGAGAATGGTAAATTTATAAACTATTTGTAATGGGAACAAATATCATGGCCCACAGGAGAAACTTCAACCCATAAACTCATTTGTAAAATGAGGTGGGGAATAAAAGTGGGAAGGAAAGAATTCTGGCTCTGCCAGTTTTTTTGTTACCTGTGTGACCTTGGGCAAGACATTTCAATTCTTCTGGGCCTCCATTTCCTCATCAGCACAGAGAGGAATGGACTAGATGACTTTTTAAGTGTCTCTTCCAGCTCCAAATCTATGATCCTTTGAGTAAGTAGGGGAAAACTAGATAAATGTCATGCCCATCTAAAACAAGGGAATACCTTTTATAACGTGATTAAATCTTAAGGGACACAATACCGCCCCTCACCCCTTTTCGAAAATTCCATCAAGTGCATGTCCCTATTCCTCAAAGAATTCAGTGATACATAGGTTTTTCCAGTTCTTAGTGTCCTGATATTCTCCACTGCAAGTAGTGTGAGTTAAGGATGCATTTCCAGCCTTTCCTCTGAATTTCTTGGCTTTTTTGGGTCCCCTTTCAGCACTATTAATGTTATCAGAATGTAATTACTTCTTCATCTAATTCAATTCCAATCAAAGAGCTTAATGCCACTTTCTGGGTAGGAGAAAGGATTCTGCTTAGAATCTCAGACTCTACTGCATATGGTAAGAATAAAGAGAGAGGCTGTAGCTGAAAACCTGTAGCAAGACAGTTCTCACTCATCTGGGAATAGAGGGACTAGGGCAAATGCTCCCTCAAAAGCCATGAACATTTGGACAGAGCTGGGGACTGAAGGAGAATGATGTTCTCTAGTTTCACCCATTAGTGAACCAACTAACAACACAATGGTGTTGTTGTTATTCTTTTGCCATAAGCAACAGGGCTCTGTGTGTGGGCAGCAGTTTAGTAGGGAGGAGGATAAGTCGACCCCTTTTTGTCCTATTGATTTTTTCCTATTTGCATGACTTGAGCAAATTAAATGATGCAATATGGCTTTTTGTTACAAAACAAAGTGAGAGATACCACCCAGACACATATGTTGATTCGTAAGAGCTGTTTACATGAGAATAGAGTGAAATCTACCGTGAACTAAGCATAAAAATTAGATTCAGCCTGGGTATTTTTTTTTTATTATGCTTGGGCCAGCAAGACTGAAACACAAGTTTTCCAAGAGTCTCTCAGACCTTGACAACTGCAGTGTTGTAACAGAGGAATTCTTAATTAAACCTAAAATGGAAAGGGGTGGGGGCGGTAAGACACCTGATTGTTTATTTCACGTGCAGAGATTGTTAATGACGTGATCCCGGCTCTTTCGTCCCCAGGGTGTAAAGTAAATTCCCTCACATAACTGCAGCGCATGCCAAGAAATATTTTTTAAACCAAGTTGAAATAAGCATTTCTTGAAATTAGAATGTTAAACTATAATACGTTTGTATATCATATATTGAGACCAGTGGAATGAAATTAGCAGTCTTCAAAAGTTCCAGTAACAAGAAAAGTTCTTTCTTTCTAAGTAACTGCGATCCGGAGCCTGGATTTACAATGACATGTGGAGGTGGGGTGGGGAGTAGGGAAGCGATAATGAATCTTTTCCCCATTTTGTGTGTGGAATGTGACAGTGAAAATCTTTGCCTGGTTTTCAAAGCTCTCAAGCTTGGTTTGACTCTAAGTACAAGCTTTCCCCTTGGACAGGGCTGGAGATCATAAACCACCCATGTTCCTACATCCTCTCTTATAGTCAAACCTTTCCCTAAACCAAGCACGTGGAGAAAACGACACAAGCCTTTTCTATCCCCAGAAAAATAAACCGGAAACCACAGTCACCTTAATTTACAGTTTTCACCGAAGCCAGTGCCTGGTTTAATACGAAACACACGCTTCATCTCGATACTTTTCAAGTGTTCACATAGGCGAGGATGATAGAATCGCAGGAAGTCAAACTTTCTTGTGCCAGAAGGTGATCTAGCAAAGCATCGTGCACATGGACTTGGGGAGCGTGGGGGTCGATCCCTGCACCCCAGAATTCATAAAAAAAACAATAATTCAGGTTTTAATAAAAAAAAGTACCTCAACAAAGCCTCGTAGCTCTATACCCTCACAGTGAACACCAGGACTGCCAGACCCCTTTCATCATCTTCCAGCCTATTCGCCAAAGTTTGCACCCATGCGATTGACGGTTGCCTACCTTGGATTCCATGTGCAGCAGAGACTGACTGTCAATCCGGGAACAGCAGGAGAGCCGAGGGTAGAAGGCACCACAGACAGCTTCTGCCCCGCTTAGGGATTCCATCTGGGACATCATCCTCCTATCCCTCCTTTTCAGACGCTTGGGTGGGTTCCCATTCAGACACCTTCTCCTCCGCGCACCAGCTCCTTCGTTCCTTTCTCCAAACTTGGCATCTCCTTCGAAGAAGCCCAGAGCCACAGCCACGAGCAGCAACTTAAAGGACAACATCTTCAGCATCATCTGCCCAGCAGCAGCAGCAGCAGCAGCAGCAGTAGCAGCAGGAGGAGGCTGAGACGCGCGTGGAGGAGAAAAAGGGCTGCTCCCCTCACTGTCCCGCCACACAGCCCCTGGAGCAGGAGAGAGGGGGACGAGAGCTGCACGGGCGGCAAAGGGGCCAAGGGAGGCAGTGAGAAGGAGGAGGGACCCGAGCAACTTTGTAACAAGTTTAGAGAAGCACCGAGGAAAGGGTTCAGATGCCCTGAGGGTGCCCAGGGAACGAGACTGAGTGTAATTTGTGCCAGGGACGCTCTTCGTGGTAGTGCCAGTGTCAAATGAGTTAGGGGGCTTCGGGCGCAGCCTGGAAGTGGGAGGAAGAGAAGGAGCAGGAAGATGAGGAGGAGGCGGCGAGGGCAGTGGCAGGGGCAGGAGCGGCAGTTCACTTGTTGTCCATGTAACGGGAGTCGCGGAGGTGAGACTCGAGCAGCAGCAGCAGCAGCAGTGACGGCCCCGGCAGCGGCGGCAGCGGCGGCAGCAGCAGCAGCAGCAGCAGCAGCGGAGGCGGAGGCAGCGCTGGGATCTAGATGATGCTGCGATCTCCTCTGCCCGCGGCTGCAGCTCCTCACACCGGCTCTCATGTTTCGCTCCCTCTTTTCTTCTTCTTTTTAACTAGCGCGCGGGGAGGTGCTGCCACCGCGCGCCTCTTGACGTCACCACTGCTGCTCCCGCGCCCCCGCCCCGGGGCAAGAGAAGGGGAGGGGAAAGTGCTCGGAGCGGGGCGGGGTGGGGAGTATGTGTGCAGGGGGGGCGGGGGGCGGGGCGGTGAGAGGGCGCGTGCCCGCCAGAAGGGCTCGCTCCTGCAGAGGTGGCTGCAGCCGCCGCGGCTGTAGCAGGGTGGAGAGGTCTAAGGAGATGGGGAGGGGGCCAGAGCTGCCAGATGCTCTCCTGCTCTTATAAATGCGGAAGATTCCGATGTGCAGAGAGGAGTGGAGTTCTTTTTTTTTTTTTTTTTTAAGCAAGATGACCCAGGCAGTATTCCCTTTTTGCAGCAGCTACTAGTGTGTTTGTGGGTTCAGGGAGGGCGATGCACGCTCATTTCTTTTCTCTAACCCCCTGGGTGGGATTGCAGTTATCCATCTCATGGTTAACCTGGAGCTTACTCCAGGTTTGGGGAGTCTCGGGCTGCAGGATGCTGCAGCTACAAACAAGTGACTCCTTTCTCCTGCTCGGTCCCCTGTTCCTTAGCACAAAATCTCCAGCTCCCCTGAGGAATTAAGTGAAAGTGACTCGAGGGTGGTTATGAGGAGGAAGAACAGGAAGGGGAGAAAATGTGTGAATTACTTACTAGTCTTCCGACCCTGCCTCTTGCTACCTGGTTCGGGGAGCAATAAGTGTCCTGAAGGGGTTGGGAAAGGCAAAGGAGGAATGGGATGGGGTCTGTGGGGGGCGGGGGCAGGAAGAAGCTAAAGGGTTCTGCAGGGGTCAGAGAGACAAGAAGGAGGTCAAGAGTCTCTGTCCGCTCCTCCTGTCATCGTTGGCTCTCTGAACTCTTGGCTGATTTCAAAACTCTCAATAACTATCTGGCCACTTTTCAAAGGCCCCCCTTTCAGGTTTTGTTTGTTTGATGGTTTTGTTTTCTCAAAGAAGGTGGGAGGTCCAAGTTGGCATACGTCCCCGCCATCATTCAATCTT